TTATCTGCCATCAAAACGCCAGGCAAACAAGCCCACTCCACATACCACACTGAGAACGTACATCACATACCCAAGTCTTCAAAACAAAGTACTATCCTCTTTTCGGATCTGCTTTGTGTGGAGCTGTGTGGGTAGTGGTGCTCTCAGAAATCAGAACAAAACTCAAACCCTGCCCAGGCACAGCCTCGAGCTTCTGGCAAATTTGCACAAACCACGCCCACTGGTCCTCGGAGTCTTCTTCCCAGGAAACCAATGGTCCCTCCCCTCACAGGTAGAAGAGGGAATGGGCCAGTTCCAAGCTTGGTTCTTTGTGAATGCTTTGCGCCACCAGAAAGGTCAGCTTGTGAGCATACTGGCAAGGGGCTGGGATCCGGATTACGCCCTGCGGAGGACACGGTATTGAGAAAAATCACAAGGATGACTGGGTCTTCAGACAAAGTGGACTCTTATTTTTTGTTTCTCTTTTCAGAATGAAGTACAATAGAGAACGAATAAACCCAACCAAAGAGATAGCCTCCCTCCACCACTGAAAATGTAAACTCACTCTTTGAGAGAAAGAGGGGGCTTTCTACTCCCAGCAAGAGTCTTGTCGACTCCCAGGGGCAGGTCTACCCATTCCTGTAGGGTTGTTATGCGTTATCCACTCGATGGCATGAGTTTGGGGGTTTTTTGTTTGGCTAAGATGGGGTGTTGTGGGGACCGGTCTGGCTCCACCATGCTGGAAGTCACCACACGTAGGGCCCATCTAGGTTTCCTAAGAGGTTCAGAGCCAGCCTTGGCCTTGGCCTTTGACACGAGGTCCTGATCTGGTTCAGCAGACACAAAACCAACCCATGCTGGTTAGTGCTTTGCGACCACCTACAGCATCCAACTTGGCTTCCACTTCCTCACCTGCGGTATGGAATGCTACTCACTGCACTGAGTTCCCGCCCGACTTGCACAAGATCGTGTATGTAAGACCCCTGTGCTGCTGCTGTTCACTGCTGTCGAGTAGATTCCAGCTCTTGACAACCCTGTGTGCAGAGCGGAGCTGCTCCCTGGGGCTGCCAAGGCACTGACTTTCAGCAGCAGCTGACCATCCTGGGGGAGGTGAAGATGCCCTCCCTACCTTTTGACTAGAGCCAGGCACGTAACCTTCTTCACTATGCTCAAAGTCCCCTGGAAATGATAACATATTAACAAATCTACATATATGACCATAGCTACTGCTATTTGGTATCCATCATGGATGGAACCCTTGTGGGCTCAAGGGGTCATTCATTCACTTTCGATTCTCTCTGGTGAATAGCCAGGCCTGGGGCTAGGCCCAGGATGCAAGGGAGAGTGGGGTGAGAAGGGACAGCATTATACGGCTTGCACTTACCGGCCAGTTATAGTACAGGTGGCACAGTTTGAATGTAAGTCTCTGCATATGGTCTGGCTTCAAGCCGTTGTCATCATAAATGACATTATAGTAGGTGGGATTGACAGTTCCCTGATGGGCCACCTGGCTGATCAAGTAGAAGTCATACCTGGTGGGATGATGGAGGAGGAGAGGAGGGAATGGAGGAAAG